GGTTTCTGAGCCTGCAGAACAAAATGGATCCAAAATAAAACTTAATCCCTGGGCACCTTTTAAACGGACTTAAAAACATCCCCAGGTCATAGACTCCTCTGAGGAGCTGATACAAGCGGTGGAAACGTCCAGTGCAGACACGTGGCCTCAAGCGCTCGCTCTCAGAGGCCAGTGTTGAGTGTGTGGAGAGCTCCTACATGTGACCTGAACCAGCCCCGGGAGGGAGGCGCTGTGGTTAGTTCCACCGGAGGCTCCCAGAGCTGAGGGCCTTGCCCGGCCTCCCTGCTGAGCGGCTGGTGGGCTGAGGTGCGGTCCCTGGTGGAAAGGATCTCACAGTCTCAGGGAGAAGATGCGTATCGAGACAAGCCGGCAGACAGAGCAACCCGATGTCAGGACACAGTGCTAACCAGGTGTGCGCCTCCCGCCCTGGGGACTCCAGGGGGAGACAGCAGGTTCCTGGCATCAGAGCAGGTGCCCAGAAAGTGAGCTGGAGATGGGGGGCCCAGCAGGTGTGGCAGCACCTCCGCGGCAGGAAGGCCTCAGGGAGGCCCAGGCTGTGACAGTGCCGTGCGAGTAGACCAGTATGGCCGCACAAGGCCAGGAGAGGGGGGCAGCCAGGCCGGGAGGAGCCAGGAGGATGTGCTTTGTCTGCGTGAGGACAGCTGGGGACGGGTTTCAAGGGGAGGGCTGACGCGTACCTGTGTGTCAGCCCTGGGCTGTGGGGAGGGGGTGGGGGTGACGGTTAGGGAGAAGTTGAGGATGGACGTGAGCATCTGAATGCGATCCATCCCCCCAGGTTGCAAGGACATTAAAAAAACCAGGCCCCGTTCTAAGTGCTGTGCCTGTGTTCATCTAACTCTCAGAACCGCCCTCTGCTTTACGACGGGAAACTGACGCACAGAGAGGCAACCTGCCTGAGCCGGGGTTATTGGCACCTGTGGGGCCGGGGAGGCCGCAGGCGGCTGGCCGGGCCCCTGTCCTAACCAGCCGCGGTGATAGAGGTGAAGGCACCTGGCTCCCAGGGGTGTTGCCATGTTCATTAGCTGATCGGGTCTCACATCTGATTTCTTCCCTCTGGAGAGCCCGTGGCAACTCTCTGAGCCTTTGCTCTGCCTCCTCCCTTTTGGCCATAATTGCAGCAGCGCCACCAGGAGGGAGGAGGAGGTGTACGCGCCTGGGGGCGGGCTGGATAGGAGCAGAGTAGGTGCGCACTGTCTGTCCTCACCTGTCCCCACTGTGCAGGGGAAGGAACTGAGGCTCACACATGCTGATCAGGTACCAGGAGGGGGACCCTGGTCTAACCAGCAGGGGGCACTAGGTTACAGTGTCTCCACCGGCTCCGGCTGTGTGACCTGGAGCCAATGGCTTCCCTTCTCAGTTTCCTCGTGTGTAGCAGTCAGACCCACTTCTTTAGGAATTGAAACTGGAAACTCAGGGATGCAGAGATGACCCTGAGCCTGCGTTCGGGAATGTGAGTCTCTCAAAGGCGGCGGGCTTCTGTTCAGAGTGCTTTGTGTGAGGCGAGAAGCAGACAGGACACACAAAAGTGGGTGTAGGCGTAGCGGCCGGCACAGCTGGCCCCCGCCTCCTGTGGGCAGCCTGAGGCCCTGCCCACTCCTCGGGCTGTTATTTTAAAACCAGATGCTCAGTCCCGCAGGGAGGATTTCCTGAATACCTGCCAGGCATCATGGGGCTTGCGATCTCTGTGTTGTAACTGCAGTTGTCATGGAAACGGGCCTGAGCTCGCAGAAAAGGCCTGCAGCCCATGGGGACTGCCTGTGTTCTGATTGGTGGAGGAGGAGAATGCCATGCTATGTGTCCCCTGCCCATGCAAGTGGAGTACAATGTGTGTTAATTGGATTCGGTGTCAGGCCTGTCACCGGCGGGGCTGCCTTCCTGGGAAGTGACAGAGGGCCTCCAGCTGACAGGCCATCCCCCGAGGTGGAGTCAGAGGCAATGGGCTGTCTTTCTGTGAGTCACAGGAGTGCGCAGCTGTAGGAGGCTGGGTGGGATGGCGCCCGGAGCTGGGAGGCGGGCGGCTCAGGCTACTAAAGGTCGTGACCGAGTCATGGAATTATGAAGTCTCTGGGCCAGATATCGGCCTCTGGCTGTGGCTTTGGGCACGGAGCCCTGATGGGGTGCCGGTTCTCTTCCACGGCAGCGATGCCCAGCAGCAGGCAACCCCGCTGCCCTGGCTCACGCACCAACGATTTACTGACAGCGAAAGGTCTGAGAGGGTCCGAGGCTGGGGCTCAGCCAGATTTGTCTTCGGGCTTCCGCCTGGGTCAGGTCTGCCCGCCTTCCTTCTCATCCTGGGACTCAGACCTAAGGAGACGCCATTTCTTGGGTCGTGTGGTTTTCCCGGCGGAGGGTGGGCTCTCCGAGCCTGAGCTGAAACCCACCAGCCTCCGGAAGCCTGTGCTCAGAGGGTGGGTCACACCCGCTCTCACTCTATTGGTCAAAGCAAGTCATGTGGGCGGAGGCAGGTGGGATTGTGAAACAGGAACCCAGTCTACCACGGAGGGTCCCCCTCGGGCATTACCTGGGGTGTTTGTGAATTCCTGGCCCACCAGAGCTGGCCTGGAATTTTCGCAGCCCATCCCGAAGGACTTGAGGCTCACCGGCGCTACGGTGCCATGTGAGTTGTACGTGTACGAGTGGGGTTTGGTCCTGTTGAATTTTTGAGTTGCAAACATGAGCTCACCATGGATGGCTTGTAGGATTTGAAGGATTCATAACTTTCAAAACTTACCTTGACATTTCCTTTGTCTGAAGAGAAAGCAGTTCCATCAATGCACGGACAAGCACATGTCTATAAAATGGGGCTTCCTGCCTTAGCCGGTTTCGCTCAGTGGATAGAGCGTCGACCTGCGGACTAAAGGGTCCCAGGTTCGATTCCAGTTAAGGGCACATGCCCAGGTTGCGGGCTCGATCCCCAGTGGGGAGTGTGCAGGGGGTAGCCAATCAATGATTCTCTCTCATCATTGATGTTTCTATCTCTCTCTCCCTCTTCCTCTCTCTCTTTGAAATTAATAATAAAAAGCAAACAAACAAACAAACAAAAAAACCACGGGGCTTCCCTGAACTTTTTGAGACTCGTTTCCGTGCTTGCCCTTTGGAGAGAACGTGTTCCTCATCTTTCCAGAAACGACGGGTCTTTCAGCTATTCCCAGCCCCTTCCCAGGGATGACCAGGCAGCCCCACTGGAATCCGTGTGTCCCAGCAGCCCCGGCTGGAGCTGCCTTTCCAGTGTGAAGACCAAACCTCTGAGATCCCTTTTTTATAAAAAAGTATATATTTTTGTTGATTTCAGAAAGGCAGGGAGAGGGAGAGAGCGATAGAAACATCAATGATGAGGGAGAATCACTGATCGGCTGCCTCCTGCACGCCCCATACTGGGGATTGAGCCTGCAACCGGGGCATGTGCCCGGACCGGGAATTGAACCGTGACCTCCTGGTTCATAGTTTGGCTGCGATCCTTTCTTTTTTCTTTTCTTTTCTTTTTTTTTTTTTTTCCATTTACCCATTTATTAGCTGCAGATTCCAATCTCTGCATTAGTGAAGCATCCTAGGAGAGGGGATTCATGTCCTCCCCAACCTTCCTGGGGAAGGAGAAGTAAAGTATTGAAGGGTTGGTACTAAGAGTTGAAAGGACTTGAAACCGACTCTAAGCCCTGGTTGCTTTGGTTCTGCAGGAGCGTAAAGATTACAGATATGCCAGTGAGCTGAGAAAGAAAAGCAGTGAGGAAATACGGGGGGCGGGGCTTTCCTCATCCTGATGGGGGGTGGGGTGGGGAGTGTGAGGGAGGCGGGAGAGGGAACTCCAGCATCCTGGGGTTTGGAGAGACCTCACTGTCCGGGTACCCAGGGGCGTTTCAGGACCATGGACAGCACACACCCGCCTTCCATTCTTCTACCTGGATCTCTCAGCACGCTGTCTGTCTGGGCATATACTGCTTACCTGGCTGCAAGGTGCCCCTCCTCCTCCTTTTTGGAGCTGCTTGAACGTCTCATATTTCAGATCCCACCTCAGACGCCCCCTCCTGGATGACAGAGCCTCTCTCTCTCACTGTTGTCTCTGTAATAACAGCATTGGTTCTCCGCTGTTTACCAGACAGCCACGGTTGCTAAGCGTGTGATTATGGGGTACTTGTGGTTTGATGTGAAAAGCCCTTCTCTTTTCTCCCGAGGATCTTCAGGCCACAACGATGTTTTATTCCTCTAACTCTGGTGGAGATGATGGGTTTTCTTCCCACCATGCAGTGGGGGGAGCACCGCTCGGAGGTTTCCTGTTGCTCAGGGATAGACGGTGACGCAAGAAATGCACTGTGATCCGGACCTCCCCCTCTCCCCGCAAGCCGAGGCTGCTGTTTCTATTGCTGTTGTATGGGAAGGAGTGCCTGACATTTTTAAAAAATGTATTTTTATTGATTTCAGAGAGAGGAACGGAGAGGGAGAGAGAGAGAGAGAGAGAAACATCAATGATAAGAGAGAATCATTGATTGGCGGCCTCCTGCACGCCTCCTACTGGGGATCCAGCCTGCAACCCAGGTATGTGTCCTGACTGGGAATCAAACCTTGACCTCCTGGTTCATGGGCCGACACTCAGCCACTAAACCACACCAGCTGGGCAATGCCTGGAGCTTTTTATTTTTAACACTGGGGATTGAGCCTGCAACCTGCGCATGTGCCCTGACCAGGAATTGAACTGTGACCTCCTGGTTCATAGGTCAATGCTCAACCACTGAGCCAAGCTGGCCGGGCTCTTTATAATTTTTATATCACTCTCCTTCTCACTCTCTCCAAATATTCTCTTGCTTTTTCCTCCCCTTTCCTTTGCCTCCTGCCTGTCAAGCCCCTCTCCCCCCGCTCAGCAAACATTTGCTAAATACGATGCCCTTGCAGCCCCTGGCGGGTCCCTGAGGACACAGTGATGAATGGCACAGGCCCTCCTGGCCATGAAGGTGTCCATCCGAGGGAGGGTCATGTGAACAGCGACCATGAAGTGTGATGACTGTAATGGGTGAGGGATGTGCAAGGGATAGTGGGGACATGGGGGAGGCACCCCAAACTCTCTGTTGGGGGGAGTCAGTTACTGCCAGAAAGATCTACCCACCCCAGAATACCACCATAGAAATTATATTTTTTCACCTAACGTTTCATTGCTCAGTGCCTCTGTTTGTTCTCAGAAGTCCCCGGGGAGCATTTTAGTATCTGAATGACGCCCCGTTGGTGGTGCGGTCGTGCGATGGGAATTAATTCGGGATCACACTTCCGTGCAGCTCCTTGCCCTTCGCCGGGACATTTTCCAGAGGACGAGTTTCCAGCACTGGATTTCTAGGTCAAGTCACCACCCTTGACACCGTTTGCCAACTTGGCTGGCACTTGTTCTAACTGAGAAAGGCCAGCTAGAGGAGAGTGTGAAGGTGACGAGTGTCCCTTCGTCCCCTTCTGCCCAGGGTGCCCACGATGGCTTCGGTCAGGGGCCTCTGTGTCTGAGCTCCTCCCTGATGCAAGCCCTGCAGTTACTTCGCCGCCAGCCCAGGCTCCTCCCACCAGGATGTTAGAGTCCCTCAGGGTCCCTGTGAGCTGGCACCTGCGTACCTCTCCAGGTGCCCTCGGAGGCCACACCACAGCCAGAGGAAACCGCTGACAGATCCCCGAGCCCACCAGGTGCCTTGCGCCCTCCGCGCCTCTCCCCTTCTCTGCAGGCTCTTTGCTCCTTTTTGTGGGGCTAAGTCCTACTCATTCTTCAAGTTCAAAGTAAGCTTTTCTCCCCTGGGAGGCTGGCGTGGAGACCTCCTTGCCAGTCTCTGCCAGCCCTTCCCAGAATGGGTGCAAAGGCCGGGTTACGACTCAGTGCCTCCACTGGCCTGAGAACTGCTTCTTTTAGCTGCACCCTCCTTCCTCAAACAGCTGTGTATGGAGCGGAGTTGCTGCTACAGAGAACTGTGAGGAGTTAACGGTGTGTAACTGTCCCCACGGTTTACATGAGCCGGGCCTGTGCTAAGCACAGAGCACCCATCATTGTGGACCTGTCCCCAGGAGTCCTCCTGCAGCCCTAGGAGACAGGGACACTTATCCCCATTTTATGGATGAGGAAACTGAGGCCAGCAGGGGTTGAGTCACCTGGATGGGAAGAGGGAGGGATCGGAACCCACACCTGTCTGACTCTGGACACTTCATTCTCGTGCACACTGATCCGGGACACGAGCCGAGCGGGTCGTAATCCTGAACTGGCCGTCTCCGGCACACCCTGACGGTCAGATTTTTGTTGGATTTTTAATTAGCTGTTTTATTTTCTTCAGAGTATTTAAACAGTGATTTTTATACAGAGCTTGTCCCCGCTCACATATCTTGTTTGTCCCTCGTGGTAGTCTGGGAGAGGCAGGGTATTATCATTTTTCTTTTAAATGTGTGACTTTTACAAAATTCTTAAAATTTGGTGTCCCATACACAGTTGGCTTTTGCCATGAGTTTGCTGAGTGAAGAGCAGAGCCCCAGGGAACTGGCCCGTGTGGATCACAGCCCTGGGTTTCCGATGGAATCTGATTATGGGATGTGATGGATTCCAAAATGTTTTAAGATGTGACAGAGTGTGTCTGATGGAGCGAACGCTGGGGAGGAAGCTAGGAAAGGCAACCTGCGCCCTTGTTTGTGTGTGAACCTGGGAGTCACCCGTCTGAGCCCGCTCCCCCCTCGGTCGGACCGGACGCGCCATGAGGGTCCATGCAGTTAGGGCCTTTGGTCTCTGGAGCACATCCCCGGACGCCTCCTGCGGGAAAGTCTCCTGGTCAGCGTTTCCGCGAAACAAAAGGATCCGCTGGGAAAGCTGTGAGCTCGGTTCCCTCGTGAATATGCACATCACACCGGGAGTAAAGGACCTGGGAGTTCCTGTCACAGAGACAGCCTTGGCTTCTGTCTAACCCAGACTTTTCTAAGCTCACGACACCTGCGATTCCCTTTTTGGGACACCAGCTGCTAAAACCCCTGTGACCGAGGGTCCCAAGGAACATGGCGCGGAAAATGCCAATTAAAAGGCAAGGGCACAGATGACGAGAAAGCCACATAAGCTCTTGCCGGGTCTTGGGCTTGTAATTTAAGGAAAACGCTGGCCCCTGAGGACAGCAGGAGCGTGGGCCCGTTTGCAGCAGCTGCCTCGGTACCTGCTGGTAGTTGGGTGCTGGGAAGGGCGGGCTATGAGCCCGAGCTCCACCGTGGTTCCAGGAAGAGCAGAGCAGGTGGGGCTGGTGTTCGGCTCACAGCACACCTAATGCCACGTTGCAGGCGGAGCCTGAGAAGCTCTCGCTTAGACGTGAAGGCAGGTGGCTGCCTGCGGGAGGCTGTGTCCTGGAAGCCACGCGCCAGCTGCCTGTGACTCACAGTTAGTTTCCTGCTTCCTGGTGCCCGGAGCCTGCACCCCCCCTTGTCTCTGCATCTGCATGTGCACAGCCCGCGCCTCCTCTTTCCTTTGGTCCTGGAGTGCCCTCCAGAGGGCGTCCTCCCTGGGACGCACACGTCCTGCCTGGCCTCTCCCGCAGGCGCAGGCGTAAGAGGCAGGTGCTGGGCCGGGCCCTGATTGAGCTGGAGTCTCTCCCTCCAGAGACCCTCCTGCGGGGGACAGGACGCGCCGGTTCACACATCTCCTCCTTGGCCCGTGGCTCTTAGTTCTTGTCTCGTGGCTGCAATGCCTTTCTCTCCATCTTCACCCACTTGTCCTTCAAGGTATCCATCTATTCATCTATTCATCTGTCCATTTTCTCATTCATCCACCCACCCACCCAGTCATCCACCCATCCATTCACTCTCCTCCCCCACCCAGTCATCCATCCATTTACTCATTCATCTACCCACCCACCCAGTCGTCCATCCATTCATCCATCCATCTACCCTTCCTTCCTCCCTTCCTCCCTCCCTCCTTTCCTCCCATCCTTCCTTCCCTCCTTCCCTCCTTCCTTCTATCCATCCATCCACCCATCCTTTCATCCCCCCATCTGGCCAGGCTGTGTCCAAGGGGTAGGGGATGCAGCTGTGAATAAATGGATGAAATCTCTGCCTGCTTGGAGCTGACAGTCTCCTAAGGACAAGTGCAGGGCTCAGCTCTAGGTGGCGCCGTCCATCCACACCCACGGTGTGTGTTTGGCCCTCTGTGATATGCGCTGGACTCAGCCAGTGGGGTAACTAACACACCACAGCTCTGATGCCCGTGGGGAGTCACCTTTCAGACAGACACGTAAATACCTAGTATGTCAGACGCACTGCAGTCAGTGCTGTGTGACCTGAATGGGGGAGGGGCGTGGGGTGGCTGGCAGGAAGCGGTGCATAGTGTTCCCAAGAGGGCAGCGGGGGAGGGCTCTCAGGTAAGTGACGCTGAGCTGAGACCCAAAGCAAGTGGAGAGTGAACTCTCCCAGGAGCTCGAGATTCCAGATGGTTGGGCCTCGCTGTTTTACACCACTTGTTACTTTTGAAAATGTTTGAATAATTTTATATTAAAAGTTAAAAGCCAACAAAAACACCTCCTGGCTTTTCCCCAGTGACACTTAACACTTTGCTTTCTTTTCAGAGTGACCGGCTCCTCATCAAAGGTGGACGGATCATCAATGATGACCAGTCCTTCTATGCCGACGTCTACCTGGAAGACGGGCTTATAAAGTGCGTGGACCAACCAGACCTTTTTAAAAAAGATATATGCTAGTATATATTGATTGATTTCAGAGAGGAAGGGAGAGGAAGAGAGAGAGAGAAACATCAATGATGAGAGAGAATCATTGACCAGCTGCCTCCTGTACGCCCCCCACTGGGGATCGAGCCTACAATTCGGGCATGTGTCCCGACCAGGACTCAAACCGTGATCTCCTGGTTCATAGGTTGATGTTCAACCACTGAGCCACACCAGCCGGGCCAAACAGACCTGTTAAGAAGCCAGTCTCAGAGGGAATGGGAGGCTGGGATCTGTGCTGTGACTGCCGTGTTGCTGTGGCTATCAGGGCTGGAGAGATTTGGGGAGGTTTACACTGTGGGTGGAGGAGATCCTAGTGTTTACTGAGTGCCCCCACCCCCATGCCCGGCTCTGCCACAGCCTCTTGCAGGCCGCAGCTCCCATGGAGGCTGGGAAACACATGGTCCCTGCTCTATCTCCTGGGAGAGGCGGGCAGGGAGAAGTCTGTCCCGCACCACAGACCCAGTGAGGGGCTGCGTGAATTCCAGCCTCGCACCCCGACTGAGCTCACAGCTTTCTTCCAGCAGCTCAGAATCTCCAGTCCTGCTGGGTCAGGGCCCACCCTACGGCCTCCTTGTGCCCCGGTGACCTCTTTAAAGGCCCCGTCTCCAAATGGTCACATTCTGAGGTCCGGTGTTAGGGCTTCAACCTAGGAATGTGGGGGCACACAGTTCAGCCCATCACACTGTCTGAAAGCTCGTAGGGCCGAGGGGGCTTTTCACTGTCTCGCTGCAAACACTCCCCTCCGTCCCCGAGCCAGCTGCTAGAGGTGTGTGACGTGCTCTGCAGTGACGGGCTGTCCAGGGAACCCTTTACCACTTGATGGCGATGCTGGTCTCAGCTCTGCCGCCACCTCCCCCTGGAAGCCTGCCCAGATAACCAGGCTACTGACGTGACCCAGCCTCTGCTGCACTGGATCGTGACCATCTGCCGACATGCCCTGCCTCCTCGTTAGACCTGAGCCCTCGAGGGCAGGGACCTGCCTGGTTTTCTCTGTCCGCCCAGTGCCCGGGATGGGGCCTGGCTCGGAAGTGTCTCCCTGATGGTCTGTCTGAAGCTGCAAGGTGGCTGGCTACCATTTCCTCTCTCAAAGACCCGACGCCTTCTCTGTTGTTTGTCTCCAGACAAATAGGAGAGAACTTAATCGTTCCTGGTGGAGTGAAGACCATCGAGGCCAACGGGCGGATGGTGATTCCCGGGGGCATCGACGTCAACACGTACCTGCAGAAGCCGTCCCAGGGGATGACCGCCGCAGATGACTTCTTCCAAGGGACCAGGGCAGCACTGGCGGGCGGGACCACGATGATCAGTGAGTTGCACCCGCCTCAGGGACATAGGCCGTGACTTCTCTCCATCACCAGCATCGGCAGCAGCACAGTGCCCAGTGTGTACCAGGCACTTAGCTCAGGGTACCGTTTAACGTGATTGTCACTAAACCCTGCCTTATACCTAATATATATCCGTATGTTACGTGCCACTGGTGGTGCACAAAGTGATTTTAGAGGCAATATAGGCATTGAAAATGTTAAAGTATTTTAGTGCATATGGAAATTAAATAAACGGCACCTCATGGATATTACTGCTTAGGTTGAGAATGAAGTCAGAATTTAGACTTTTAGAAACTGTGAATTGATTTAAGAAAAGCATTAAGTAAACAGTGATATGGATTATAGGGAGATAAAGCAAAATATTCCTAAACATGGTTTGCTGGTGGCTAAAGTTTTAGAACCAGTGACATATGTATTATCATGTCACGTGTAGGAGTAGAAGCTCAGAGAGGTGAAGTAACCTTCTCAAGATTACACAGCTGGGAAGTGGTTGTATTAGTCAGTATTGCTGCCACAATGCTGCATAACAAATAGTTCCCTCCAGCAGACACAATGGGGAGTAGTGGGAAAGAGGTCAGCCTCTGAGCTCACAGGACTCTGTGGGAATCTAACGCCCGCCTTCGTTTACTAATTGTGTGACCTCGGACAAGTTCCTTACCCTCTTTGAGCCTCATTTTCTTCATCCGAAAAATGTTACAGGATGGTTGTGAGGGCTTAATAGATAATTTATGTAAAGCCTCTGTGGCAGCATCTGACACGTAAATAACATTCAATAAATAGTTGTGATGCTGATGCTGAGGACGACAACAGTAACCATGGTGATGACAATGGTGATAACGAAGACTCACTGAAGTGTCACTGCTGATGATAATAATATGATGGTGACATTGATGGCAATATTGACAGTGGTGATGGTGGGAGTGTTGATGAAAAGAATTGTGAAGATGAGGATGTTGATCTTAATGATGGAAGTAGTGGTGATGATGGTAGTGATGGTGATGGTGATGGTGATGATGATGATAATGATAATGATGGTGATGGTGATGTTCACCTGGGACCCGGGAGGGCAGCTTCTCCCTCCTGCCTGATGGTGGTGATGGTGAGGATGGTGATGTTAATGATGTGGTGATGGTGATGATGGTGGTGATGGTGAATGATGGTGGTAATGATGATGGTGGTGGATGCCATGACCTTTGCAGTGGGGTTCAGGATCTGAAGGAGGGGCCGACGCACAAATGAAAATGCTATACAAGAAATATGAATTTAGAAGGCATTGGAGGCCAGGGGGAGCCTCTTTCTTTCTTTTTTTTAAAAATATATTTTATTGATTTTTTACAGAGAGGAAGGGAGAGAGATAGAGAGTTAGAAACATCGATGAGAGAGAGACATCGATCAGCTGCCTCCTGCACATCTCCTACTGGGGATGTGCCTGCAACCCAGGTACATGCCCTTGACCGGAATCAAACCTGGGACCTTTCAGTCCGCAGGCCGACGCTCTATCCACTGAGCCAAACCGGTTTCGGCGAGCCTCTTTCTTGAAGAGACACACCGACTTCTGGCCTGGTCTGCTATTTACTTGAATACACATTTGCCCTTTAGTAATGTATACAGGCATATCAAAGGTAAAGTCTGGTAAACAGTAAAAGGATTATCAGATTAGGGAATTGCCTTGAGCCAGCACTGTCTCAACACAGCCTTGCTAATGCCCAAGGTCCATCGACCTTCCTCATTCCTTAGTGCATTCCTAGACAATATTGGCAAGTGGTAGCTTCCTGCAGGTGATGATAATGCTGCTGCTGATGGGGATATTGATTGTGATGGTGATGATGATGGTGATGGTGATGATGGTGATGGTGATGGTGATGATGATGATGGTGATGGTGGTGATCATGATGGTGATGGTGATGATCATGATGGTGATGGTGGTGATCATGATGGTGATGGTGATGGTGATGGTAGTGATGATGATGGTGATGGTGGTAACAATGGTTATGGTAGTGGTGATGCTGATGCTGATAATGATGGTGATATTGATTATGGTGATAATGTTGCTGATGTGATGGTGGTGATGGTGGTGACGATGGTTATGGTAATGGTGATGATGATGCTGATAATGATAGTGTTACTGATTTTGATGACAATGTTGATGATGTGGTGATGATGGTAGTAATGATGGTGATGGTGGAGACCATGATGATGATGATGGTGGTGGTGGTGATAATGCTGAAGAGGCCACCATTGGAACACGTTGGGTCCTAAGCATCTTAGAATGTGACACATGATTCTGTCCTAGTTGACCATGTGGTCCCTGAACCTGGGTCCAGCCTGCTGACCGCCTTCGAGAAGTGGCATGAAGCAGCTGACACCAAATCCTGCTGCGACTACTCCCTCCACGTGGACATCACAGGCTGGTCCGATGGCGTTCGGGAGGAGCTGGAGGTGCTGGTGCAGGACAAAGGTCAGTTCACACCCTGGGGGTGGGGGACGCAGTTCTGGAATCCCTGGCTCCACGGTGGATCTGATTGAATGGAGTTAAAATCCCTTTATCTGCATGCCACGAGCCCAACTTTGAGCTGCGTACTGTGACAAACTGGAGAAACAGGACCCTCTTTAAGGAGCCTGTCTTTCCCTTTAAGCCCTGGAGGGACCCCTGTTCATAGAAGAACGCCCAGTTGCATTCGCCTGGCACACAGGCCTCGCTGGCCTGGCCTGGCTCTTCTTTCTCCACCGTAAACTCATCTGGGCACTGTTGTCCTGGATGCCATCACCTAAATCCTCTGCCCCTCTGGGGCTTGGCTCATGCTGCTCCCACCAGAATGCCCTTCTACCCTGCTCCCCAGCTCAGCTCTCACCTCTCCAGTTTCCCCAGTCAGACGGCCTCACCTCCTGCGTATCCAGAGTGGGTTACGTGGGCTTCTTTGAGGCACCGTTTCCATTGTTCTTAGATGGCAGGCCTCTGGTGGTCCGCCTGGCTCCTCCACTGAGCCCTGAGCTCTGTGCGGGAGGGGTCGAGTCTCCACATCTCGGCATCCTACTCCGCTTCCCCTCTGGGCTCCGCCAGGTGGCTCTGCACAGTGTAGATGCTGACAGGGTGCATCCCATCGCATGGAGGGGAATCGAACAGAAGACATGTGGAAACCAAGAGCAAGAGAACAGGGGTGCACCAGGGCACGAGTCTGGAGAGGGGCATTCTGAGGGCCACCTGAGGAGGCAGCCTGAAATGAATGCGACTCTTCAGGGAGAGCTAGCGGGTGTTTTCAGGTGTTTTTTTTAAAGTCAACCTTTTTTTGCCCTAACCAGTTTGGCTCAGTGGATAGAGTGTCAGCCTGCAGACTGAAAGGTCCCAGGTTTGATTCCGGTCAAGGGCATGTACGTTGGTTGTGGGCACATCCCCGCTGGGAGATGTGCAGGAGGCAGCTGATCGATGTTTCTCTCTCATGTTTCTCTCTCATCGATGTTTCCTGTGAAAAATCAATAAAATATATATTTAAAAATAAATAAATAAAATAGTATTGGTGCCTAAGCCCAACCCCAGCTGGCATATGTTAGAATCTGGGAAGGGCTGAGCATTGGCAGGAGTCTGTGGGCAGTCAGAGCTGAGAACCCCTCTTCTCATCGCCCTGCCTCTTTCTGCAAACCTCCGGCCTCTTGCTCCTCCCTCCTGCGCTCCTTGCCTCCCATCACACCCTCACTTCTTTCTCCGCACTTCAGTCTCCTCTCCTCCTTAGAGCTCCAGCCTCCCCCTCGC